ACAAAAAATATTTAAAATCAAAAATCGATCTCTTCAGAAAATTTCAGCATTTTTTTCGCTACTCGGGTTCTTTGGTATCAAAATTCAAAGAAATTGTTTTATTTTTCCAATTTTTGTTAAATGTTATTTTCTTTCTTGCCACAAATATCACCTTTAAAATGACACCAGAGCCATTTTTGTACCCATAATAATTTTTGATATACTCTAAAATAATCTTGAAAACTCATCCGGAGTTGTGAAATTGGGAATTTTGAATTACTTTTGAAACAGAAGTTTTAATATTTTTTCCTTTTCTTATATAATAAAAGAAAAGTTCTGATCAGAATTTATTCAATCATGACCTATACCAACCATTTGTCGATTTGACATGGATTGACCCATGCATTTATGTGTCGCACACCGTCTTCAAAAGAGACACAATTCGAAAATCAGATTCGGAAATGTATCTGCTTGTGGATCGTACAGATTCAATGCAGTCGAGATAAAAAACAAGTATAACAGTAGTTTTTTAGTTAGAGAATATAACCATGAAGAAAAAAATAAATATTTGCATGAATTTGAGAAATTCATTTATGCAAAAAATTCGGCCAACTTTTTTTTATTTGTGCCTCTTTTGAAGACGGTATGCGATATGTAAGTTTTATAGCTATACATAAATGTATAAAGCGAACGAAGTCCAAGCGCACTCCTTTTGTGACGTGGCACACCCACACAACATATCGATCGAAGTCGGCTGGTTATCCTTACAGGCATACATACATATTTATGTATTTACATATATGTCTCAACGTTGAATCAATTATTGTTTGATGACGAAACAACTAAATACGCCCCACCGAATTTATCGCTATAAACTTACCGACGCTGGCTTTGTCGTATACTTGGTAACCCTGGGCGTTTTGGTGGTGAAAGCGCCTAATTGTAGGCCATCACAAAGGGAAACTGCAGTTAAACAAGAAAAAATTTCAAATTAGCAAGGTTGAGATAATTCATACAATTGAAAAGCGTCATATATATTTCTTAAATTAAACACATCTAATTGTTATGACGATGAAAATATAAATATGTACATATACGTTTATAGGTATGAAACATTTCCAAATTTGTATGTATTTGTATGTCGCATTCGGATATCGATTTTCTACCTCCATCCAGCAGACAAAATATCTAATTTTAACAAATGAAAAGTGTCGTAATACTCACCAAGCAGCAAAAGCGGCAGCAAAAATCCTATTGCTCCACTAATTCGTTTGTGCTGTTGCAGATTTATTTGACTAAAATTTTGCCACATTTCTTAGCTGCCGATTTATAAGTGAAACAAAACGCAATAGTTAGGTACTTTCGTTGATTTTTTTATTTTATATTAAATTGTATTTATTTATTTAAATTTTATTTTCAAATTTTTCTTTTCAATGCCTTTTTTCATTTAGCACACCACTACCGTCTGTCTGTATATCCAACATGCAAGAGAGTGTATAACCTTTTTGGCAATGCCTTCAGATATGACTTTCGATTTCTTTTCGTCCTTTGTATCCTGTGGCCTTTGTTAACGCCGCCGTGCTCGCTACTGACATTTAGCTTAGCTCTAATCGTTTTTCTCCAAAGGAATTTGCACATTTTCATACGTGCATGAGTGGTATGTATGTAAATATGTAAGTGCAAGTGTGTTTTTAGAGAGAGTGAGTACTCTCTAAGGGAAATCATATGTGTGCTGCGCATGAGCGAAATATTTTTAAAAAAAGAGCATATTTTCACTATAAATTACTTATTAGTAAATATTTTTCGTTGTTTTTTCACTTCGAATGCGAAATGTATAAAATATGTATTTAAAGAAATTTAAGGCATATCAAAAATTTCAAAATAGCGTTTAAAAATTTATTCACATACTTTTGCTTTAGCAACACTGTTTTTAACCCTTGGTATCTGTGGATAGAATTTGCTCCATTTTCATGCAAGCTCGAGCACACAGATGGCGCCGATGGCGGCAGCAACGACATAGCCCAGCAAACCAAACATTAACTTGAGGTGGCGTGAGCTTGCTTTTAGTTACTTATCAATCAAATTTATTTAAAAATCAAGCTCTTTCAACAATGTTTACGAATTTCAAGAATTTTGAGCGGCCTCCATATATTTTTTGATTTGAAAATAAAAATAAGGGTATATTATTTTCTATATAGAACAATCCTAAGGGGTGAGAGCATTAAAATTCCGACTTTACTTGTTTGTTTTTTTTTTTTTACCACCCTAATGTACATACATATCGATGGCTGAGTGGAAGATCGACCTATCTCGGCAGCTGGTTCGAATACGCCCTATCTCAGCAAATTTTTCAAGAACGCCGTATTTTGGTTGTGTAACGCTCTAACTCAGCAAATGGTCCAAGAACGCTCTCTCTCAGCAAATTTCTGAATTTATGGTGAAAGGCCTTGAAGATCAAAAATAGTATCCAGAAGGCCACTTCTTTTCTTAGTTTGCTGAATGGGATTAACGAAAATAAAATAACTTCAAGATATCTTACTAAAATTCACTTTTATTATATTATTTATTTGAGTAAATTAATAATACTGTACGGCAAAATCAACTTTTTTTCTCGGTATTGGACCAAACCATTTTTTTGTTTTAAAGATTAAGTCATAGGTAAAACAGAGATTTCTCCGTTTTTCGAAGTTAGCCTCCGAATTCGAGATATGGGCCTTCGAAGATCCAAATATGACCTTTGGTAAAAAATTATATTTAATTATTGCATGTAAATAACTAAAAACCTCAAAATATAGGCGTAGTCCTCCTTTGCTTTTATTTAAATGGTATATAACTTCTTTTGCGCAAACTTATATTACAGATGCTGTGCGGGGTCCAAGTTCAGGTCTTCGAAAAATTAAATAAAATTTAATTCCTTATATTGCAAACAATTTTTAACTGATTTTTAAAAAATGTATATCGTTGTAAAGGTGATTAAACCCTTTCCTTTTTGATTGTTGTTGTTTCCGACAGAGTGGTTGTATAAATAAGAGAAAAAGGCGGACCACGTCTGTATTTTTACCTTTTTTGATTTTTACATGCAATAATTAAAAATAATTTTTTACCAAAGGTCCAATTTCGAAAATCGAAGGCCCAAATATCGCGATCTCGGAGGCTAATTTAGAAAAATGAAGACATTACTTTTTTTAATTATGACTCAATCTCTTAAAAAAAAAGTCGGTTTGGTCCAATGCCCAGCCGAGTGCTGTACAGTGTAATTCATATTATTGGAAACTGTTTTGCTTTTTGTGAACTTGATGTACATATATATGTACCTCTTAGAGTCCGACCGATTAATTGGCATCGGCATCAACATCTGCATCGGCATCGGCCGTTTTTGGCCGATTCTTTTTACTTTTTTAGCAATTTTAACAAATGTTCAGCAAAATGTGGAACTGTTTAATCAGATTGTTTAGAATTTTTTCGAGTACGCAGTTTTTTACATTTTAGTATAATAAAGTGTAAGTTTGAAGTAGCTAGGTAAGTGTTGAGTTTTGACAATTTTTTGTTCATGAATTTTCTTCCAAAAAAAGTATATTCGAAAATTTTTTTGTATAGAGAAAATCGGCAACACCTTCCACAAACAAAAAATTTCCAAAAATCAATAGTAAGTTCTTGTTACATAAAATTTGCACTTAATTAAAATAAAATCGAATGGGCTACAAAACTGCATACTCAGAATATTTAAAGAAAAATTATGAAATTTTTACTGACATGTTTTTTGTTAGATAACTTTCATGAAAAAAATTAAAAACGTTAAATAAACAAAAGGCAAATAGCCAAAGAATGCTAAAATATCGTCACTGAATGTAGTGTTACGATTATCCTTGAATTAATCTTTTGAATTCTCCGGGTTCTTTTCCCTGGATTGTTAAATTGTTTACGTTGCAAAAATACTTCTATAATTAAAAATCTACGGTTAGAGTTACTAAAAAATTGTATTCAATATAACAACTTTATAGTCAGCAGAACCTGCATATTTTTACTAAAATGAGTACAACTAAGAAATGCGACTATTTTTTTAAGATTGAATAAGAAAATGACTATTGAACCAAGTATTGCAATGATATATATATATGCATAGGCGATATAGTACTTTTTAAACATAGTAAGTGAATAGATTCTTGAATGGATTATTTGTTTTGTAATGCTATTTTTTTATGTTTTTCTTTTGTTATTATAAAAGTTGGTCACAAACATTTGTTCTTGAATGAATTTATATTCAGGAAGTTTTTTTTAAGGAATCGGCATCGGCATCGGCCAAAAAATGGAAATAGGTCGGACTCCAGTACCTATGTGTATAACTGGGTAATTGTAATGTAGTAATCAGTATATGTATGTAAATACATGCATACTTCTCATTATGTCAGCTATTTATGCATACATATGTATGTATATGTATATGTATAAATTTTTTTAATACCGTTAAACTGCACGCTACTTAGTACATAGTTAATTTTTTCCCCTATTTTGATAAAATTTCTGTTTTTGTATTAAATATATTTGAGTAAATTATTAGTTTATATTCTATAAATTTAATAATTGATCGCTTTGTAAATATACTACTTATGTATATACATATGTATGTATGGATGTGTGAGTGAGTATTTGACGAAATTGTTTTTTTCTGAAAGCGAAAGCAGCAGAATAAGGCAGAAAGTTGAAATTCAAATATTTTTATAAATTCTGTTTAATTTTATTTTACCAATATATTTATTTTAAAATTTATTATTTGTTTATCTAAATCCTAAAAAAATACAGCTTAGGAGAGTTTTCGTTAGAAGTTAAGGAAATTACAAACAAAAAATATATTAAAGTCGGCATTTGACAACTTTTTTTTATTAAATAAATTTGTTTAAGATAAGATTTTTTTTATTTTACTTTATTTCATTTTATTTGTTTTAATTAAATTATATTTTTTCACATCATTTTATTTCATATATTTTTTAAACCAACAAAAATAAAATAATATGTAAGCATAAACAAAATCGTAGAAAAAATTGCTGTTAAGAAAATTAGGTAAATAATGCTTTACATTTATATTCGATTTTAAATAATTTTATTCAATGAAATATACTCGTATACATAAGAACAAAAAATATCTGAGAAACTACTAAGTACTTTATCGTAAAACTAATAAAAGCACGAATTTTAAGTAGGAAATAAAATATTTGAAAAAAAAATTTATAAAATGTATTGCACATGGTTACTTACATACATATGTCCGCACATACAATAATATTTCATTTCTATGTGAAAAATATAATAGCTAGTGCAAATGTGCATTTCTAAATACTTATACAATTTTAAATATTTTTTTTATCTATTTATTATAACTTCCTATATTTTTGAATATCTGTACTTAAAAATGTTCGCCTTAAAATTCATGTATCCAATATTTATAATACCTACTTAATGGGTCGTATGAATAAAAATTAAGCAATTGCTTTTTCTTCATACCTTTTACTTCAATTTTGTCTGAATAAATCGAGTAAAAGGTCTGAAATTGTAAGAAAAAGCAATTGCTTATTTTTAATCACATCGCCCAATGTTTCTGCTGCATAATTCGCAAATATTAATTTTTAAAATTTAAAGCTTCATATTTATGTTTTTCGCTTTTATATTTTGCTATTAAATAACTGAATTTAATACGCAAAAGTCAAGTACAATTTTTTCTTCGTTTACTAATTTAAAATAATATACGTCCGTACACAAATGTTTGGGATGGTTGAAAAATTGAGATTTGCAGAATATTTGAAGTTTCCGTACATAAATTTTTGAGGTGGTCGAAAATTGAGAGTTTCAGAATATTTGAATTTTTCCGTTTTATGAAATTTCTAAATCATACTGCTGGTTTACTTTTATTTTCCCGTGTACCTATGTATGTACATCCACTTACCCCCATTTTTATGATACTCCATACTTCCCTTTTTACAATACACATTTTTTGTATGAATTGTAGTGCCCTAACGACGAGTGTGGTTAAAAATTTAAATTGTTTTTTTTTTCAATCTGGCCATTTGAAATACATATATATTTTAATATATTTTATAAATATTTAAACTGCGGTGAAATTAACTATTTTATGATCGACTAGTGTTTCTCTCTCGAAATCGCATATTTCAGACACTGTATAGGTTTTAAGCTTTTTAAAATACATACTTATGTAAATTTTCTTGTAACTTTTATGAACTTTTTGCTATCAAGGGTCTCTCCCATTCTTAATTTAACTGAGCAGGAATAACCTTTATGTAGATACGACTATCCTCATTTTCATGGTGCATCCTCCCTTTTGGCATATATTTTGCCATCATTCAATACACTTCGCGCTCGCGCTGCACTCGTTCATCAAGTACCTCTCAGCTTAATGCATTTAGAGAACGGAATACAGTTGTATCTTAAATTTAATCTAAATGTTTGTACATGTCATCTAGCTGAGGCTTGAAGTAGCTCTTCAATTGCGGTCGCTTTGCTTTGAATGTGGGTGTCAATAGCCCATTTTGCACGGAAAATGGATCGGGATGTAAGTAGATATCCTTTACCTAAAAAGACGAGACATTGAAAATATGAATCATTTAAATCAGGTGACCACCCACCTGTTCGAAGGATTTAAGTCCGCTCTGTTTTCCCCAATTCAACATATCGCCCATGATGAGCTCCTTCACTTGTGGGTTATTACACAGCACAGATAGTGTGCCCCTAACACGATTCTCATTGGCCCACTGCTTGAGCACATCCACATCAGGCACGACAACAGCTATGACGCAGCTCTTAAAGGGATTCGGGGAAGATGTGCGTGAACAATGAAAATTGTAATTACATATTTTGAAAAAAAAAAATGTACTTACCTTGAGACTTTCGCCATAGACATACACCTGATTTACATATTGGCTCAGCGTGTAAATATTCTCAATTTTCTCTGGTACAATATATTCACCCTGGCTGAGCTTGAAAATATGCTTGCGGCGATCGATTATGCGTAGCGTGCCATTCTGTAGCCACATGCCGACGTCGCCTGTGTGATGCCAGCCTTCAGAGTCGACGGCCTCAGCAGTTTTCTCGGGATCTTTATAGTAACTACGATGGCAAACGGAAGAGAAAGTAAATTTATGTTCAGAGAGTGTAGGTGAGTTTTTGTGAGTGTAAGATTGTTGTAGGGCGATAACCCTAATGAATGGTGTGGGACCAGATTTGGTACCCCCATTAGCTGTGTTAGGTAAATCAAAGTACATATTGAACTCGACTCAAATGTGAAAATATATACTCTGCAAATGAGCGCATATTTCGATAGTTAGATTTATGCGATCAAAATCAGGATTCACGCAAATAATCTGGCAGCGTTGGGCGCCTAGACTTATATTAAACTGCAAAAATAGTTGTATGTAGCTATCTTAAAAAACGATTACCTAATTAGGAATCTATAATAATATAACATTGAGATAGTCGGTAAAATATTTAGAGTTAATTCTGGAATTCCAGTTTTTTTGGAGAGACACACTGAAGTTTTTGTGGGCCGATTATTGAAAACCGAGAGCTTGTCTGTTGTGACTAAATAGTCTAGGATGAAAACAATTTTGAAATCTATGAACAAACTATGAGCTCTTACCCATGGAACACATTAGAACCGCGTACGCACACTTCTCCAGTATTTTGGCTGGCAAAATATTCCATCTCCGGCACATCCACAAGCTGTAAAGTATTTCTTTAAACAAACGGCCTTCGACATATGCCCTTTCTTAGCACTTACTTTGACTGCGTTGCAGGACACCGGAGGACCCACGTGATTCGGCACATAGTCGCCTTGTACGGTCAGCGTGATGGCGCCGGTGCACTCTGTTTGACCGTAACCCTCCAACACCAGGCAACCTAATGCACAACGCATGAATGTCAATACGTTACCGGCTAGCGGCGCCGATCCGACTACCATTAAACGCAGATTTCCACCAAAAGCTACACAATATTAGAAACATCAGTTGGCATATCGTTCATCAAACGCTCCCTGACCGCTACGTACCTTGGTGTACCTTTTTGAAAACCAGCTTGTCCCAGCAACCATTTCGTCGCATAATTCCACGCGACAACTCATTTTCCTTGGCCTTGAGCGCCATGTTGAACAGCGTACGCTTAATCGCCGAGGAGGAAATTTCATTCTGGATTTTGTCATACACTCGATTGAGCAGACGCGGCACAGCCGGCATAACGGTCGGTTTCAGCATTTTTAGGTCATTGGTCAGCTCTTTGATGTCGCCCGAGTAGAAGCCAACACAACCACCTACATAGTAGATGCCATTCTCACAGCAGCGCTCGAACATGTGAGCCAACGGCAGAAACGATATCATTACATCGCCGGCGCGAATTCGGTGTTCACCTGTGTAAGGCAATATTAGTTCAGTCAAATTCTGTCATCCACCTCAGCAGACGCATTGTCTCCTGCTCATAACTCACCCATTTGCAAGATCACCGCACACACGCCGGCCACCACATTGCCATGCGTCAGCATTACACCTTTCGGATTGCCTGTTGTGCCGGATGTGTAGCAAACGGTGCACAAGTCCTCGGAGACCGGTGGCACCTCTGGATGGTTGCCCTTGGCGCCCAATTTCTCAACATCGATGAACGAGAAGATCTGTATACCACGACTTCTAGCGCGATCCAATGTTTGTTGACGTATTGGCTTGATAGCGACTACAATCTTCAGAGTGGGCGGCGCCTTATCCAAAATCAGCAAAGCCTTAGCATCGTCCTCCACAACAACTAGCGACATTTCCGTTTGACGCATAATGAACGCGCACGCTTCGGGTCCGAGCGTATCGTACAGCGGCACAACGACCAACGAGAAGCAGTAACAACCCTGTTCGTAGAGAATCCACTCAGGCCGGTTCTGTGAATAAATGCCAACCAGCTGCTTGGGACGCGCACCCAAGGCAATCATGCCAGCGCCGAAATTTTTGGCGCGCAACAACGCCTCATCGTAATTGATCCACTGTGGTACAGAGGGGGGTAAATAAGTATAATTTTATTTCATTTTTGCTTACTTTTGGTATGTTAATCACACTTTAATAACAGTAGTTTTTACCCATTCATATGCAAACTTACCTGATATGGTGATGTGAGAGTCTCGCGCCAACCCAAGCACGGTCCATTGTTCGAGGAGTAGGCACCTTCGCGAAATGTCTGATACAGGGTGCGCACATTCTCGGTAATGTAGCTGATGAATTTGCCATTTTTGGCTTCTTTGTAGAATTTCGAGACATGTATGTGATCAGGACCCTGGACGGAAAAGTGGCGGCATGCAATAAGAATGTGTAATATGGGGAAGAGAGAAAAAGGGAATATTTCTTATGAAAATATGTAAACGGTGTAGCGCGGATTTTGTGAAAGTGTGGTTGTGAAAAGTCGTTTTAATGACAAATATTGACGATAGTGTGGATATATTTATGCATACATACATATATGTAATGTATATAGGGTGGTCCAAAAATGCATGTGGAAAAGTAAAGTCCGAATTTCAATGCTTTCATCCACTAGGATTGTTCTATACCGAAAAAAATTATACCCGTGTTTTTTTTTTATTTTGAAATTAAAAAATACTTTGAGGTCGGTGCAAACGCTCAAGTTTTACCATGTACATACATATATGGGGTAAAACAAGTTTTCGTAGAAATGGTATAGAATTCTTGAAAATCAATATTTTTGACCACAAAACTTTGTTTCTCTACAGAAGACTGCCAATAATAGTACCCAATTGTTTATTTAACCATTTTTTAATGGGGATATGTTTTTTTATCCGACTTTACTAGTTTTGGACCACTCTATTGTATTAAATACGAATTTGTGTGGTAAATGTAAGAAATCAACTGTGCTAAAGGAATACATATATTTTTCTTAGTAGATATTTGTGTTTAGCAATTCTAAATAATCATAAGCGTAATATTTGGATAAATTGAGAATTTGTCGAAGATTTCCGTTTTTCCCTCGTCAGTGGATTTGAGATAATTTGTTTTTGGCTGTGACAAAACTTTAATGTTTCTCTTTAAGCAAATCATTCATGACAAATTTTATGAAACTTACTTTTTGTTTATAATGGTTAAACTTCAAACTTGGTTATTGCTATATAAAATTTGTATCAATTTTAAATTTAACACTTGCATTTTTAGCTCCTAAATTTGAGTTATAGTACATAGGTAAATACATGTCTGTAACTATCTTTCGTGATAAGAAGTGGAATATGTACGTTGTTTGTATGTATTGCAAATCTTTCATACAGGTACACACAAAATCAAAATTTTGTTATGCCATATTATTTGCAGAAACGTCATCGAGAGGTATTGTAAAAATCAAAAAAAAAAAAAAGTATTCTTAAATATATTTATTTAGGCATGTGTGAGTATTTATGTGACATATGTATGTACATTCGTATATGTGCACTCTGTTGGTAAATTAATGGGCATTCAAATTAAATTGAGAACTAATGCGAAAACACATCAACAGCCCGAAAGTGATTAATGAGCGCTACTACGACCGGTCAGCATCAGTGTTGCCAACTTCTGAGTTTCAAAAAGCACCAAAGCTTGGGGAAAAAAGCGTTTTACCATACTAAAAGCATTAATTCTTTTCTATCAAAGGATACTTTTTTCATAACAGTTCGTATTTAACAAAAGTCAAAAAAAAACAAATATTTATTAATATATTAAAACTTTTTCTCGGGCTAACGAAGTGATACGAAGTAGATACTGCAGATTAAAACTGATATATTTAGAGAAAGAAAAATCGAATGGCAACAAACGAAAAAATGAATGTAGATTCTTTTAATTTCAGTGCTGCTACAGCTTTAAATATTTCAAATTATTTCATGTTTTAATTATCTATGAGAAATTTGAGTTCGGAAGGAGAGTACTAAAAGGCAATAGGCACTGAACAATTTTTTTTGGCGTTTTAATTTTCAAAAAGCACTAAATCTACACTGAGGGAAAAAAATATTAAAATCAAATAGAAACGTAATTGATCTTACTATAAACGTCAACGAAAGTAATGTATATTGGTAAATATTCAAATACGTGCGTAATAAATTTTATATGAAAATATTATTTTTAAATACGAACATTTTTAAACGATAATCAAATATAAAATATTCATTTTTACTATGCATTATTTCCCTCAGTGTAGTGCTTAAAGCACCAAGTTGGCAACTATGGTCAGCATAGTGCCGATATGTCAGTCGCTCGTGACAACAGCAACGATGTGTGAGCGTGGTGCATCCTTCGACAACACTAAAAAGAGTGTGACATGCAGAATGCGCGGGACGTGTCTCATCATTGGAATGGCATGAATGACAATAACCGAAAAGTTTAACTCAAGATTCTTGAATCAAAATATATAATCAATTCGAATACCAGCAATTGCAATTTCGATATATTAATCATATATCGCACAAAAATAAAATCAATTTTTTTACTTAATTGAAGTTTATTTAATTATAGACTCGGAATAACAGTATTTCAAAATGCTTCTTCAAGTACTTTTGTAAATGAACTCTCGAATAGTTTATACGAAAATGATTGATGAAAACCGTATGGTTTTTATGTATATGTACATGCATATGTAGATATACAAATGTATGTATGCTTAAATATGCGTATAATAAAATTTCTTTTCAGTTTCATAGCAAATCACTGCTTGCGTAAATTGTTGCCTAATGCAATAAACCAGCTGTCGCCGAATGCTTAGCGTACCACAAGCAGCGAGTTTTCATAGTTGCAAGGTTTATATCCAAAAATTGGCCAATAATTTTAATCAAGAGAAAAAAATTTTGATTTGAATTAAGTGAATGTGAAAACATTAAAATAAATTATATTTTGTTTTAACAACAACAAAAATTTTAAGTAAAGTATATATGTCTACTTATCTTAACTGAATAAAATAGAATAAAAAACGGTTAATTTCCAATTAATTTTTTTTCCACTCTGAACTTGTTTGGAAATTGCCCACAGTGCGGCTCACATCTAACCCTTTATGTATGTATCTTAAATGCCATTTATAAGCTTCACAAATGATTGATTTGTTGCAATGACAAGGAAATACGAATGAGTGCAAGTTCAGATGTAAAATTAAATTTTTAATGCCACACAAAACTACAAAATTTTGACGTGTAAATTTGCCACCAAATTCTCAACATTTTAATTGCTAGTTTACGGTTGCAGCCAAAGCATTTACATATGTACTTGTACATACATACATTTTTTGCCTGTACAAATTTATACATATGTAAGTATGTATACACGTAGGTACGCTTATAAGATTATTAAAAAAAAAAATAGTTTTTAATTATGTATCTAAGAGACTATAAAACTTGCCGTGCAAATAGTAGATATGTTAGATATACACTAGGCGACAAATGAAAGTGTACACCTTGGTCTAGTATAATATTCACAATTATTTTCATGAAAAATTTTTTGCATTTATTATTTGGGAAAATACAATTCATTCTATAATGTAAACCATATAAATCAAAGTTTCACACTTCATATAAAATTCACAAAAATTCAAAAAATTGTCATCAAACTTTTCCACTTTTTCGGGTTTTGCAGTTTTGTAGCCCATTCGATTTTATTTTAATGAAGTGCTAGTTTCAACTGGCTAAAGAATCGCGTTGATTTTATTTACATAATAAGTGCAATTTACAAAAACTGGCTTTGAGTTGTTTTTAATTTTTTTGCTAGCGGCCTCCTACATTTTATTTCATAAGAAAAAATTTCAAAATTCCGACACCAAAAAAATTATCTGAAATCAAGGTGTTTCTTTTAGTCGTTTGAAACTTGAACTTCATTAGAATGAAAATTGAGTGGGCTACAAAACTGCATACTCAAAAATTTCCTATAAATTCTGAATATAAAGTTGGAATTTTTTTTTGAATTTTTGCCAACTTTATATAAAGTGTGAAGCTTTGATTTATATGATTTACATTATAGAATGAACATTTTCCTAAATAATTAATGCAAAAAGTTTTCCAAGAAAATAATTGTGAATATTATACTAGATCATTCATTCATTTGTCGCCTAATGTACATATTTTCGTACATGTATGTATGTATGTAAGGACAAGGGTATCACTACAAGATATGCATCACTTTCGACTTTATCATTGCGGAGGTATACATATAGTATGTATGCATAAATGTATACGTGAATATGTACGTCACTATTGTTATATGTATGTATTTATATGTACATATGTAATACGATTTGCACTAAATTGGGCAATTACTAGGATGTATAATTCATTGTTAGCGGTTTATTTTTCTCTTTTACCCTGCGATGAATATCTAGTAGTGGATCGTATCTTAACTAATAGAATGCGGAAGAAATTGGGCAGAATGCATAGGTAGATTTTGTATACACAAATATGTATGTAAGGAATTTTTCGTAGTAATTTTTTGGTAACGTTGATTATTGTTGTTGTTGTTGGCAGATGCAAAAATTAAAGATAGAAAATAACAAATTAAAAATTACAAAATTAGAAAAATTAAAAATTACTGTGAAGTAAATCTCAAAAAATGTACACACAGATATTTTTTAAAAGAAAGTCTTTAACCTGATAAAAACATTATAAGGTAAAACCGTGCACTCAATGCGTCAGCCATCATTTATTTTTTGAAGTTTGTCTTCTTTATAAAATTAAAAATTGCAGTGCAGCTCAAATGCAAAACTGAGAACGCGTTCCAGTTTTGGTTTAGTTCTGCATGAGAATAAAATGTAATGTCAAGAACGTTCCCATAAAAGAACCAAACGGGAATAAAAGAATTGAGAGCAGTTTGAAGGGGAAAAAAACTGAGAACAAAAGGTTTGGGAACGTCTCCATAAAGGGCAAAATTCGAAAAAAACTATCGGGGATATTTTCATAAGAAGAACAGAAGGAGAATGAAACTTTCGGGAACGTTTCCAATGAGGACGAATTGAGAACGAATGTATCGAGAACGTTTTCAAGCAGGATCAAATGAGAACAAAGGTCTGGGGAACATCCTGCTAATGAACAATTCGAGATATAAGGTTTTGAGCACTTAACGTTGAGAACGAGAGGGGAGTCTGCGTGTTGGGATCAAAAATATTTTCAGTGAAAAGCAGGATTGTTTTTAATTCTAACCGCAAAGGAATTCTGGGTCATTTCAACTTCCAGATTGTTTATCAATAGGATGAACCGTCCATTTATGGAACAATTTTTTTTATTTTTTGTGCAGGAAAAGTTTGTGTCTTAAGTCTTTCAAAACTTTCTT